AAGAAATCAGCAAAGCAGAACTAAAGATTTGCATTGCTTGTATATTTGATAATAGATTTTCTCCTTTTTCAGAGAGATTGGCACAATCATTAGGTCATTAGGCTGTTGTCCCAATGAGGGGGATCTCCATGATATGCTTGCAGAGGTAGTGTACATAATTTTAAAGTTCTATTACTTTATAGTTGTGGATAGTAAATTTTTTCCTAAATCAGTAAAGATTAGAAACACAATATGGAAGAATTTCACTGAGCAAATGCTTACCCTGTAATCATACTTAGAGGCCAAAATTATGTTAAATTCATACAAAGCAAAGGGACTTCTGTTCTAGTACTAAGCCTGAAGAATGGACTGATGGCTATAATCCCTCCATCTTGTTGCTAATTTTATTTATGTATTAATTATACTTTTAATTTTCTGAATACCATGAAAGGTTATAACAACTAAAACTAAAAACCAACAAATGATTAATTTAATGATAATTATCAGAGAAAAAATTGGATATAAAATGTATAAAAACCACCATCCTGATGTACTATTACCACTTAAAAATTCTCAAGACTATTCTAAAATGTCTGGGAGAAGAGAAAAAAGAACAGTATGGATGCACTGTCTGAGAAGGTAATTCATAAGGGGGTATATCACCATTGGAAAGCCCTATTGTTTCTCTTTTGTAGATATCCATTTAACTTTATTCTGTAGAGAAATGTAGAGGAGCGTTCCCAGAGATTAAATGGTATCTAATTTGTTTCACTAAATGTACAAAAGTCTTAAGTGACTGGTCTTCTTGGTACCATTACCAAGTAGAGAGCCATTTTGGTGTAGTGGTTAATGTGCTGGCCTAGAAACCAGAAGACTGTGAGATCTAGGCCTCCCTCAGGCATAAAAGCCAGCTGGGTGACTGGGCCAGTCATTCTCTCTCAGCCCAACCCACCTCACAGTGTTGTTGTTGTGGGGAACATAGAAGGCAAGATATTAGATATGTTAACCACCTGGAGTTGACCAAAATATACTAAAAAAGGCAAAATCTACTACTACTACTACTATTAATAATAACAACATATTGTTAAAAATTGTGCTTATGCCAGGTAAGTTCCCTGAATCTTGAGCTCTCTTCTAAGATTTTCAGTCTGCGACAGAGGTAGTCCTCACTTAACAACCACAACTGGGACCATCACTAAGCATCACATTTGCTAAGTGGAAAATCATGTGAATATGACAGACTTACAATGTCACTTCCCATTTGGTCGTTAAGCAAGTCACCATGGTCATTAAGTGAAACATCATGTGACCACGACTTATGATTTTACTTCTGCATTCTCTTTTAAGTCTGCTTGTCGCAAGCAACTTGAGAAGCACACAAATGGTGATCACATGACCGCAGGATGCGGCAATAGTGCTGGTTGCAAAGTACCCGAATGGCGATCATGTGACCCTGGAACCCTGCAACATTTGTAAAAGGATTGATCACAAAGCTGTTTTGTTTTACACTGTTGTAACTACAAACAGTCACTAAATGAGGCAGTCAGTAAGCAAGGGCTACATGAATTATGATTGTAGCTATTCTTTGCAGCATTATTTGTCCCACATATACTAGAAGAAAATAATAATTTGCAGTGAAACTGATAAATTTTGGAATTGTTCTGTCACATCCCTGATCTCTGCTCCTGTAGACAGCAGACTTTGTGAGCCAATATGTCCAGTCTACATAATATTTGTTTCAGTTAATATTACTGAATAAGTAATTGCTATTCCTCTTCCTCATTATAGTCTCCATCTATTACCTCTGTTCTTATTTGGCTATGGTATTGATGGTGAATCTTTTACAAAAGATAATATCTGGATTATAAATTAAATATTTTTCTTCTTCCAGTGTTTCTCCTAAGAGAAAGTACACTCTGCTATAACAATTACCTATAAAGACAATTATTCTTGAAACAGCTATTAACTTCTAAGTGCTAATAATAAAAAGGCAAAAAAATAAAATTTCAAGTAGACAAGAAAACAATGAAGGCAAATGATAATTTTATGTGGTTGAGAAAAGATTCTGTTTTGAAGGAAATTTTAGAGGAACAGTTGGTATGTTGCAGCAAAACGAACAGCATGTTGTAGCATTTTAAAGGCAACAAAATTCAAGCTTTTGTTGATTAGTTGGATGCAAGAAATGTTGTCTTCAACTTCAGCTGTGTATTTGTGTGTGTATTTATTTATTTATTTATTTATTTTGTCCCCCCCCATCTCCCCACAGTGGGGGACTCTGGGCGGCTTACAACATACTAAAAAACATGAATACA